AAATCCAGGAAAATGCGAGCACCCGTGCTAAGTTAAGGACTTAAAGCTGGGTGTGCAGGTTTTGGTTATTACCTACGCTATCGTTGTCTATATATTTCATCATATGAATGATTGTCGTCGGCTTGAACAGCACCCCCAAGTTCAAATACTGAATAAATCCAAGAAAATACGAGCCCCCGTACTAAGTCGATGATTTAAACATGGATGGACAGATTTTACCATAAGGAACCTAGCCGACTGATCTATGGTGAGTTTGCACTTAGGTGCGTTTGGTGACCAACGCACTCGGCAAAAAGGAGTCATCTTCCTGGAATCGAGGCATAGTGGACACCTAACATTGAACTCCCAGCCCAATCCAAACAGGGCTCGCGGCTCGCTCTCATGCCCGTTAGTCCGTCCGGGCCGGCCCATGCCTCTGATGAGGCTCTGACCAAGATCGCTCCCGTAAAGCCCTCACGTGGCGCGCCGGTAAATGGCCAGCCAGCCATCCACGTGAGCCCGGGAAATTAAACCGAACGGCTCGACAGTCCAAGGAGAGCTGATCGATGAAAACGGTTAGCAACTCGTAAACAATTGTAAATTTTCAGCTGAAAATAGTGTTTTTTTCTTACATCAAATCAGCAAGCAGTAAATAATCCACAATACGATATGGCCTTCCGAACATGCTGTAGGTGTTACGGTTGCAACCGTACCGTCGGCGAGGAGCGGTGGACCACGGCCACGTATGTACCGTCGTCGCGCGGGACGATCTGGAAACATAGCACGTGTTCAGTCCACCTTAAAATTCTAAAAAGTGCTACAGTATCTGTCACATCGAATGTTTACGGTCTGTGCATGGAGTATTAAATATAAACGAAAAAAACTAATTGCATAGTTTGGTGAGAAATTACGAGACGAACGTTTTGAGCCTAATTAGTCCATATTTAAACACTAATTACCAAATAAAAACGAACGTACTACGGTAGCCTTAAATTCTAACTTTCTAGAACTAAACACGGCGATAGATCGCGCGAGTAAGTAAATAAATAATTTGATTAATGGTTGCTTCCACGTGCAGTCCAGGTGGTGAGTTTTTTTATGGGAAATGAATCGGAACGAGACGACAAGTGTACTGCGGCTGCGGCAAATGAATCGGATGGAGTGAAAAGTGTGTTCAGTAGTTAACTCCGGAGTCCGGACACCGACACCATCATGCATGAAGGAACCGTGCATTGTGGTTTGTCAGTCGTCTGCTCCGGCGTTCGTCGGCCAGTCAGTCAGCTTATTACGCGGCCCGCCCGGCCCGGCCGCGATAACGCGCGCAAATCACTCCGACATGTCGCCGCCGTCGGTTCGGTTGGTAACATGCAAAACGTAGGCACGCTTGTATATTTATAAATATATATACTGTGTGATTAATTAATTAATTCCCAATTTCCAAAAAAAACTAAACTATTCTCCTAGTCCTGTGTAACTCTACTCGTATATATCGTATCTGCCAACACGCTGCCACGTAGCCGTGTGGAAGCAGAAGCATCTGTAGACGACTGCTCGTCGGTCGGTACATGGCATGGATATACAGAGTAGAGTACATTATTAGGAGACGCTGCCAAGTGACATGTTTCATGGCTTTTGCATTGGTCCCTCTAGTCTAGAGAAAATAATGCATGAACAGGAGGGGGGGCGTGGGACGCGCGGCCACCATGTGCACGGTTGCTTTCAGCTCCTTAACTAACTTCGCTCACGCTCACACCGCGATCGAGAATCTCCGCACATGTCCATATGGCATATCCATCAGCCTGTTCGGAAGGCCGTATCGTATCATGGATTATTTACTGCTGGCTGGTTTGGTGTGAGAGAAAAATACTGTTCCTGGCTAGAAATTTACGATCGTTTACGAGCAAACGAACAGGCTGCATATGGCTCACTATCACCTCGATCGGGCAATGCAAACACTACTATTATGCAAATGATTTAATTTATTCGGAATGCTGACTGATGAGCTCGTAAAGATGCCCTCCTGTTTGACTCTAGTGTACGTAAGCACGTGGCACATCGAAATCTTTCATTATTATATTACCAGTCCTCTCTCCGATTAATTCTGAATGGTACGTCCTCAGGGAGATATTTGTTCGCTTCGTTGTACCACTCTTATGCTTTTGTTTTTTCAATATTCGGTAAACATAGCATGCACTCAACGAAAAACTACTACAACTGTTACTCTGCCGTGCGCTTACCTGTTAAACTTAGGGGCTTGCGAAATCATATTTTGTCTTTTCCAAATTACAATTTGTCTGGCTGTGTATTGCAACTTCTTTAATTTTAACAAAACTTTTAGGAAAATGCACAAACATCTAGAATATCAAATTAGCTGCAGATGTCAACAATTTTTTTTTCTAAAAGATGCTTAAATTTAGGGGGGAAAAAGAGAGCAAAGCCAAAATGAACTATAAGACTATATAATTCAGAACAAAAAGGGAAATGTGGTTGTTCTCATCCTCCCTACACCTTAATTTCTTCCTCCTCGCAATTCCTGTGATTCCTCATCCCACAAGATCCAATCTATATTCTCTATCTTTGATAAGCTCCATGAAAGTCGATGAACTCACATTTGGGTTCGGGTTGGGCTACTGGGGATTTTAGGGGTCCGTGTGCTCCATTAACGTCTTTGCTTCTCGAACTCTTTGGGACAGAGGGATGGCTAGGAGAATGGGTTACTTGACATTGGAGGTAGCTGGTGGATTGGTGTGCATGGCGACAGGCGGCTGGAGGTGGTGGAGGGTGTTTGGCGGATAGGGTTGGGACAGGAAGAAAGCTCGTTGCAATGGGTTTGTTGGGAGTTGTAGCCAAGCGATCGATAAAACCCACTAGAGACAAGGTGCGATATCATCAAAAGAACTCTTCGCAGGTTCCAGTTATGGTGAGAACGAAGGAAGATAAACCCGTGTTGCTATTTATTAGATTTAGGACGTTAGGGGAAGGGAAACAGTTGGGTATGCATGGCTAAGGTTTTAAATAGCAAGCTTAGGTATTTATTAGTAGTGGCCTCCTCTAGAAGATATGAAATATAGTTGGATCAATTTTTCCCTGAACACTAAACATGAAACAATTGATTACCTACCATTTAGTCATTATTTAGCTAGCCTAAGGGTACATGAAATGGGCTAAATGGCTAATCAAACGGGATGAACGACCGATTAAACCAAAATGGCGTACCACCACGTAGCATTTACATGGTGTTAAACTGTCTAAATGACCATTTAGACAAACAGTGAGCAAGATATAACAAAAAACTATTTCATTTAGTGGGTTTTTAAAAAACATGGAAATTTTAAATTAGTCGCATGGAAATAAGAATTTTTTATTGACATAGATACTCAAGAATGCATATCTAAGGCTATAGGTCACATATCTCTATGTCTTCATAGTCTTTCAATCAATTAACCTACTAGCAGCTATAATCACATTCGTATATTTATTCAACATCCAACAAGCAACAAACTCAACATTTACTCAATGGTTTTAACAAACAAAATAGAAGAGGCCTATATTCTAGTCATCTAGAGTAGATAATAACAATTTTTCATGGTTAGGATCTGACATGCTAAAAAGTTTCTAGCTAAGCCAAATAGTGGTGCTTAGTTGAGCTAGGCATTGTTAGCTCCAATAACAGAACAATTGGTAACATCATAGCGATAAGCCATCTAAAAATCTTATAGTGGGCTATTTAGAAGCATGATATGTGTTTCATAAATCCTAATTAACTCAGTGGAAAGGAAAAAAGCGCTTGTCTCACAAAACACCAGAAAGTTTACATATATGTGCCCCTGTTCGTGCAACTAGGCTTATATGTGGCTAAAGCCAGGAGACACCGAATCTCTAGCGATAACAAGATTGTAGCAACTTGGTTGCACTCATAGCAGTGCTGCCGCGACGGCAGCAGCAGCTGCTGCTGTTCTGCTGCGTCGGTTGTAAGAGTAGAATATTGTAGCATGGCTGCCTAGCCAGCAACCGAACATGCCCGTTGGCCCGAACATACTTTTTTTCCGACTCTATTTGGTTCGGAACTAACGAGACCGAGAGATTAGGAAGGGGCATTTTAGTCTTTCACTGGTGGACCCACATAGCTATTCATGGTACAGGCTTATGGAATGAACGGAAGTGCTAGATAAGGAAGAAAAATTTCAGTAGCGCACAGATAGGGAAGTTCTGAAATTTGGGTGCTAAACAAGGAAGAACAAGTTTTTTGGGTGCTAGACAGGGAATTTTCTCCTTTTTTGAAGACCAAGTCGGCAGGGGTAAAAGCAGAACACATGTATGTTATAAACGACAGGCAATATAAATGACGAAGAACAGTAGATCAAACACAGGAGACACGAGATTTTAACGTGGAAAACCCTCCCAAAGTGGAAGGAAAAAATCACGGGCACCAGCCAGCAAATCTTTACTATATCGGGTGAGGTTACAAATGCCGGAGATTTACAACTTAGGGATACCCTAAACTGGGGGCCTTCCCGTATACAAGTCTATGATGCCTCTTTTCATGAGGGAGGTGGTCCGTATATATAGGGAGGAAAACCCCACACCCTCGTCTATTAGCAATACGGAACTAATAGATGGTGTAGTCCCTCTTAACGCTAATGGGCCGCTTCGCTTCGGCCCAAGCTTGAATTTGGATCATAGCTCAACAAACTCCACCTTGAGACAAATTCCTTCTTATAGCATAAAACGAACCTTCACCCTGAAACAACAAAGAAATACTTCCGGTGCCAAATAGCCTCTTGGGCTAAACAGTTTTACCAACTAAGCTTGAGCAAAGCTCAAACTTAGCAACATGAACTGGCTTTGTCAACATATCAGCAGGATTATCATGTGTGCTTATCTTGCATACCTTCAGCTTACCTTGCACGACCACATAGAGAACATAGTGGTATTTGACATCAATGTGCTTCGTTCTCTCATGGAACATCTAGCTTTCCATTATCAACATGAGCATAACCAGTGCAACCGAAAACTCTCAACTATGAATAATCAGCAGGCATACCAGACCATACCTCAATGGGAGTTTTCTTATTAAGTGGGATAGAAGGTGACCGGTTGATCAAGTAACAGGCGGTGTTAGCAACCTCAGCCCAAAAACGCCTGTTCATACGAGCATTGGACAACAAACAACGAGCCCTCGAGATGATGGTTCGGTTCATGCGCTCAGCCACACCATTCTGCTGAGGAGTGTACGGGATGGTGTGGTGCCTGACAATGCCGTCTTCCCTGCAGTAATCATTAAAAGCATCTGAACAGAATTCACCGTCATTATCAGTGCAAAGCAATTTTACCTTCTTTTTAGTTTGCCTTTCTATCATGACTTTCCACTCTTTAAAAGCAGCAAATGTATCATCTTTATTTTTCAGAAAGTAAGGCCACACTTTTCTAGAGTAATCATCAATAATGGTAAGCATGTAACGAGCACCACCATAAGAGGGCTTACGAGACGCCCCCCACAAATCAGCATGTACATAATCAAGTGTACCTTTGGTGGTATGAACAGATGCATTGAATTTTACCCTCTTTTGCTTACAAAAAACACAGTGCTCACAGAACTTCATCTTACCCATAGTGCAGCCATCTAGTAGGTCTCTCTTGATCAATTCTGAAATTCCAAGTTCACTCATATGCCCAAGACGCATATGCCAGAGATTAGTTTTACTTGGTTCATTAGAAACAGCAGCAGCAGTGATGGAACCATATAAAGTACTTTCTCTAAGAACATATAACTTTGCAGAATTCATATTACCTATCATATGAATAAGAGAACCTTTTGATACCTTACACACTCTACCTGAACCGGAGTGTCTATATCCCTCGGCATCAAGTGTGCTGAGGGAGATAAGATTTCTGGCCATCCCTGGTATGTGTCTCACATCTTTCAGTGTGCGTATCATGCCATCATGCATCTTGATCTGAACGGAGCCAATGCCCACAATCTCACGTGGGTTGTTATCTCCCATATGCACCACATCTCCACTCTGCACAGACTCGTAAGAAATGAACCAATCTCTGTTAGAGCATATATGAAACGAGCATGCAGAATCAAGTATCCATTCATCACGACCAGCAAGTGGTACCAGTGTTATAAACGATAGGCAATATAAACGACGAAGAACAGTAGATCAAACACAGGAGACACGAGATTTTAACATGGAAAACTCTCCCAAAGTGAAAGGGAAAAAACCACGGGCACCAGCCAACAAATCTTCACTATATCGGGTGAGGTTACAAATGCTAGAGATTTACAACTTAGGGATACCCTAACCTGGGGGCCTTCCCGTATACAAGTCTATGATGCCTCTTTTCATGAGGGAGGTGGTCCGTATATATAGGGAGGAAAAACCCCACACCCTCGTTTATTAGCAATACAGAACTAATAGATGGTGTAGTCCCTCTTAACGCTAATGGGCCGCTTCGCTTCGGCCCAAGCTTGAATTTGGATCATAGCTCAACAAACTCCACCTTGAGACAAATTCCTTCTTATAGCATAAAACGAACCTTCAACCTGAAACAACAAAGAAATACTTCCGGTGCCAAATAGCCTCTTGGGCTAAACAGTTATACCAACTAAGCTTGAGCGAAACTCAAACTTAGCAACAGGAACTGGCTTTGTCAACATATCAGCAGGATTATCATGTGTGCTTATCTTGCATACCTTCAGCGTACCTTGCGCGACCACATAGAGAACATAATGGTATTTGACATCAATGTGCATCGTTCACTCATGGAACATCTGATCTTTAGTGAGACATATAGCACTTTGACTGTCACAAAATAAATTAATGCAAGAATCATCTTCACAAAGCTCAGCAAACAAACCTTTCAACCAAACTGATTCTTGACATGCTTTAGCAATAGCCATGTATTCTGCTTCAGTGGTAGACAGGGCAACAACGGGCTACAATGTTGCCCTCCAACTCATAGCACAACCACCAATAGTGAACACATAACCTGTGAGAGATCTCCTCTTATCCAAATCAGCAACAAAATCTGAATCCACATAGCCAGTGAGTCCCTTATTAGTCCTGCCAAACTTCAAACAGGCATTTGTTGTGCCACGAAGGTACCTGAAAATCCACTGAACAGCTTTCCAATGTTCTTTACCAGGATTAGCCATGTATCTACTCACCAAACTCACAGCATATGATAAATCAGGACGAGAGCAAACCATGGCATACATCAAAGAACCAACAACACTAGAATATGGAACTCTTGACATGTACTCAAAATCCTCATCCGTACTAGCACATTGTAAAGCTGATAATTTGAAATGAGGAGCAGGAGTACTTACAGACTTTGCATCATGCATGTTGAAACGATGAAGAACTTTCTTAATGTAACATTGCTGACTAAGAAATAACAAACTAGAATTTCTGCCTCTTATAATTTTCATACCTAGAATCTTCTTAGAAGCACCAAGATCCTTCATCTCAAACTCACTACTCAATAGTTTCTTCAACGTAGTGATTTCTTTCTTGCTCTTGGCAGCAATCAACATATCATCAACATATAACAACAAGTTTATAGGTGATCCATCAACAAATTTAATGTACACACAGCTATCAAATTCAGACCTCTTAAAACCATGTGACATCATAAAAGAATCGAACCTTTTATACCATTGACGAGGAGACTGTTTCAAACCATATAAGGACCTCTTTAATTTGTAAACATGATCCTCCTTACCAAGTACTATGAACCCTTCTGGTTGGTCCATGTATATCTTCTCCCCGAGCTCTCCATGTAGAAACGCAGTCTTTACATCTAACTACTCAAGCTTAAGATCTCGCATAGCAACAATACCGAAAAATATACGAATTGAACTATGCTTTACAACTGGAGAGAACACATCATTATAATCCACACCAGGAATCTGACTGAAACCTTTTGCTACTAACCTTGCCTTAAATCTTGGAGGCTCACTAGGAGATAAACCCTCATTTCTCTTGAAGATCCTTTGCAACGAACGGCATTCTTATGTTTAGGCAAGCGCACAACATCCCATGTGCCATTTTTCTCAAGTGACTGCATCTCTTCTTGCATAGCGAAAATCCACTTCTCGCGGTCACCAGAAACAACAGCTTCAGTGTACGTAGCCGGCTCATGAATGTTCTCAACCTGTTCAGCATAGCTAAAGGCGTAATGAACAATATCACATTCCTCAATTAACGTGGACGAGGTCCACAACTCCTCTTTGTTCTGTGATATGCAATAGATTGATTTTGAGGCTACAAAATAGGAGGTGAGTGATGAACAATATCATGAACATTGTTATCAGCAATTTCAATTTCCTTATCATCTACGTGCTCCACCTGCACGCTAACATGTTCCTGCTCCTCATCAGAACCAACTAGTGAAACATCTGTGGACAAGCTGTTGTTAAACATAACAGATTCATTGAAAACAACGTTCCTGCTCATGAAAGTCTTTTTAGTTTCAGGATTCCATAACTTATATCCTTTAACTCCAGAACCATAACCAAGAAACAGACACTTAATGGCTCTCGGTTCTAGCTTTCCATTATCAACATGAGCATAAGCAGTGCAACCGAAAACTCTCAACTGTGAATAATCAGCAGGCATACCAGACCATTCCTTAATGGGAGTTTTCTTATTAAGTGGGATAGAAGGTGACCGGTTGATCAAGTAACAGGCGGTGTTAGCAGCCTCAGCCCAAAAACGCGTGTTCATACGAGCATTGGACAACAAACAACAAGCCCTCGAGATGATGGTTCGGTTCATGCCCTCTTGTGCTTACCAAAAACACAATGCTCACAGAACTTCATCTTACCCACAGTGCAGCCATCCGACAGGTGTCTCTTGATCAATTCTGCCATACCAAGTTCACTCATATGCCCAAGACGCATATGCCAGAGATTAGTTTTACTTGGTTCATCATTAGAAACAGCAACAGCAGTGACGGAACCATGTAAAGTACTTTCTCTAAGAACATATAACTTTGCAGAATTCATATTACCTATCATATGAATGAGAGAACCTTTTGATACCTTACACACTCCACCTGAACCGGAGTGTCTGTATCCCTCGGCATCAAGTGTGCTGAGGGAGATAAGATTTCTGGCCATCCCTGGTATGTGTCTCACATATTTCAGTGTGCGTATCATGCCATCATGCATCTTGATCTGAACAGAGCCAATGCCCACAATCTCACATGGGTCGTTATCTCCCATATGCATGACATCTCCACTCTGCACAGACTCGTAAGAACTGAACCAATCTATGTTAGAGCATATATGAAACGAGCATGCAGAATCAAGTATCCATTCATCACGACCAGCAAGTGGTACCAGTGTTATAAACGATAGGCAATATAAACGACGAAGAACAGAAGATCAAACACAGGAGACATGAGATTTTAACGTGGAAAACCCTCCCAAAGTGGTAGCGAAAAAACCACGGGCACCAGCCAGCAAATCTTCACTATATCGGGTGAGGTTACAAACGCCAGAGATTTACAACTTAGGGATACCCTAACCTGGGGGCCTTCCCGTATACAAGTCTATGATGCCTCTTTTCAAGAGGGAGGTGGTCCGTATATATAGGGAGGAAAAACCCCACACCCTCGTCTATTAGCAATACGGAACTAATAGATGGTGTAGTCCCTCTTAACGCTAATGGGCCGCTTCGCTTCGGCCCAAGCTTGAATTTGGATCATAGGTCAACAAACTCCACCTTGAGACAAATTCCATCTTATAGCATAAAACGAACCTTCACCGTGAAACAACAAAGAAATACTTCTGGTGCCAAATAGCCTCTTGGGCTAAACAGTTATACCAACTAAGCTTGAGCAAAGCTCAAACTTAGCAACAGGAACTGGCTTTATCAACATATTAGCAGGATTATTATGTGTGCTTATCTTGCATACCTTCAGCTTACCTTGCGTGACCACATAGAGAACATAATGGTATTTGACATCAATGTGCTTCGTTCTCTCATGGAAGATCTGATCTTTAGTGAGACATATAGCACTTTGAGTGTCACAAAATAAATTAATGCAAGAATCATCTTCACAAAGCTCAACAAACAACCCTTTCAACCAAACTGATTATTTACATGCTTCAGCAATAGCCATGTATTCTGCTTCAGTGGTAGACAGGGCAACAACGGGCTGCAATGTTGCCCTCCAACTCACAGCACAACCACCAATAGTGAACACATAACCTGTGAGAGATCTCCTCTTATCCAAATTAGCAGCAAAATCTGAATCCACATAGCCAGTGAGTCCCTTATCAGTCCTGCCAAACTTCAAATAGGCATTTGTTGTGCCATGAAGGTACCTAAAAATCCACTAAACAGCCTTCCAATGTTCTTTACCAGGATTAGACATGTATCTACTAACCAAACTCACAGCATATGATAAATCAGGACGAGTGCAAACCATGGCATACATCAAAGAACCAACAACACTAGAATATGGAACTCTTGACATGTACTCAAAATCCTCATCCGTACTAGCACATTGTAAAGCTGATAATTTGAAATGAGGAGCAATAGGAGTACTAACAGACTTTGCATCATGCATGTTGAAACGATGAAGAACTTTCTTAATGTAACTTTGCTGACTAAGAAATAACAAACTAGAATTTCTCTCTTGTAATTTCCATACCTAGAATCTTCTTAGCCGCACCAAGATCCTTCATCTCAAACTCACTACTCAACAGTTTCTTCAACATAGTGATATCTTTCTTGCTCTTGGCAGCAATCAACATATCGTCAACATATAACAGCAAGTATATAGGTGATCCATCAACAAATTTAATGTACACACAACTATCTATCGGTGTTTCGAACAAACACCGGTGAGTGAATATATAATGGATGCACGTTAGGTCTGGATGGTGTGCTAAAGGACATAAGGTTTATACTGGTTCGGGCCGAATGTCCCTACGTCTAGTCCGCTGCTGCTGCTTGTATTATTAGCACCAAATATGGTTCGTAGTAGGGGGTACAAACGGTCGAGAGAGGGACGGGTCCCAGTTCTCAGATGGAGGGGTCAAAAGGATGCCAAGGGCCTAGCGGCGACTTGGCCGTGTGTGTGTGGAACAGAAGGCTCTATGAGCTCGTCTGTATGTGAGTTGTCCATTGAAAGTCGATTTGTTCGGTCCCCCTTCATAGGGAGCCCTGTCCTCCCTTTTATAGACGAAGGGGAGCAGGGGTTACATGTGAAAAATGCCAAGGGTATAGAAGGTCCTTCGAAGGGCTCGGGTCTTCCTTTTCCTCCAAGCCAGCCTCAGACACGACCAGCTGGTGTCAAAGGTTGGCACGTTCACCGGGTACTTGTGTGCTGATGATGCTGCGTTATGCAAGTGGTCACGTCCCATCCCGCCTCAGCGGGCGATGTGTCGGGCAGGAGTGCCGGCCTACGATACTGTGGGGGGCGAACGGTGCGGCACCCGTACGCTTGTCAGCATCGGGGACGTGAGTCCTATTGCGGTATTTTGTGTCAGGCTCCGTGCTCGAGGGCTGAAGGCGGCGCCCGCAATACTGTAGGCCGTAAAACCCGGCGCCCACAGTACTACTCAGGTTCTGTCATGTCCGGCAGGGCCTAAAGCGCTCGTCCTGTCGTACTTCGATGGTACTTGTCAGTAGAGCAGGGCATGGTCCTTGCTTCCGTAGTTTGACCCTAACATCCTGTCTTACCCTGTTCCTACCATCATGGAGGGGTAGGATGAGGACGTCGGGTGAGGTGGTGCTCAGCCCTTGTTGGCTGGACGGGGCGGAGCCTAGCCCTCAGGGGCCGGACGAGGTGGAGTCTAGCCCTCGAGGGTCGGACGAGGCAGAGTCTGGCCCTCGAGGGTCGGACGAGGCAGAGTCTGGCTCTCAGGGGTCGGACGAGGTGGAGTCGTTGCGCTCTTGTTCGAATGGGAATGTCATTGGTACTTATCAACTCTACCTCATTGGGTATCCCAGTATTAGATCCCCGATAGTAGCCCCTGAGCCTCTGGGTGATTCAGGTAGAATCGCCCAGGGGTTGTCTCGGCTCGCTAGAGAGTGTTTTGGTTTGCCAGAGGGTGCGCGCGAGCGCACCCGATGGGTGTAGCCCCCGAGCCCCCGGGTGATTCGGGTGGAATCACCCAGGGGGTGTCCCGGCTTGCTAGAGGGTGTTCGAGTTTGCCAGAGGGTGCGCGCGAGCGCACCCGATGGGTGTAGTCCCCGAGCCCCTGGGTGATTCGGGTGGAATCACCCAGGGGGTGTTTTCGGACCCTCCATGGGTAGGACAGTGAGATTTTCTTAGCTGGATAGCTTTTGAGGAAACCCTGGGGTCCCATTTGCGGGGATGTCGCCCGGGCTTAGCTTGGCTGGGGTTTTGACTTTTAAGAAGTTGAAGTCCCACTGGTGCTCGCGTACCGGAGTCTTTGTCTTTTGCGGGCCCGTCCCTTGTTTGAGACGTCCATCGAGATGGTTGGGCCGACCCAGGTCTTTCTGGGCCTAGACGGACTAGAGAAGGAAGTCTTTCTGGCCCACGTCTCCTCTGTTTGGAGAAGAGTCCGGTCGCCTGGGAAGATGAACCGTTCGGTGCGATTTTGGTGGGAGCGGATAGGGATTGCAAGCGCGTGTCCCACGACATGACGTAGCGGTGCGCGTGGTAGGCCTAGAGATCGAGGCGGACGGTTGCCCTTCTCGCATCCGTCGCCACTATAAAACCGCGGGGTTCGCCCCTAGGGTTTCGTACTCTGCCCCCTCATCTTGGCATCTGTAGCCCTCGCCGCCAATCGCCCTAGCTTCCCACGCCAGTAGTGCTGCCGCCGCTGGGTCCATGTCCTCGTTCACTGCCGCTGTCGAGTTCATATTCACGCCGCCCCCCCCGTTGAGCTCGCACCCGCCTTCCTCCCGGTGTTTCGATGGAGCTGTGGGGCAGATCCGGCATTACTCCTCGGCGTTTGGAGGGCCTCGTCTGCCGTGGCCTCCTCCGCCCGCTGTCTGCCATCGGGGAGTGGCTGCTGCCCGGCGAGGAGAATGAGCCGGCGCCGCTCGAAGGGTATGTTGTGTCCTTTGTCATCTTTCATGAGCGGGGATTTGCCGTACCCGCACATAGATTTCTTCGGGGGTTGCTGTATTATTACCAGGTGGAGTTGCAGCATCTTACCCCCAACGGTGTTCAGCACATGGCGGCGTTTGTTGCCCTGTGTGAGGGTTTCTTGGGGATCGATCCCCACTTCGATTTGTGGCGGCACTTCTTCACCGTCAGCCTGTCGAAGACGAAGATTAGGGGAAGGATGTGAACGTGCCGATGGGTTGTGCCAGTATTCATCTGCGCCCCACTCGGTCGAAGGACTACTCACTGATGCGTCTGTCGACCTCAAATAAGGGGTGGCATTCGCAGTGGTTTTATGTCAAGGATGACCTGAGTGCCACCTTGCCGAGGTACTCTGGGCGTCTTATCGTCGAGGCCCCAGAGCCATGGCTGTGGGGCTGCCCGACGCCAGCGAAGAAACACCTTGCCGACCTTCTTGCCGCCATTCGCTCTCTGAAGGTCCGGGGTGTGAAGGGGTCAGGGATTATTGGTGCCTACCATGCGAGGAGGGTGGCGCCACTGATGGCGCGCGCGCTCCCCCTTTACCGGATGGTTCTTGGAGAGTTGTTTGAGGGAACGGTGCTCGCTGATGAGGCGCTTGCTCCCTCCAAGGTAGCGCAGCGTATCAAGGAGGCGATGGAGCTTCCGAAGGACACCACCGGCTCCGCCCTCGAACATGTGTATCCGGTGCCGGGGCATCCCCCAATGCGGCCGGAACCAGGGTTTTTGGAATTTGTAAGTTTTTTCTCCCCCGTGCTTCCCTCGTCGTTTGAGTTTCCAACCTTTTTGATATCAACTTTTGGGATGGCAGGACCAGCCGAGGAGGCTAATCTTCAAGGACTGCCCGATCCCGCTACCAAAGGACCATGTCATGGCGATGGTGAATCGCATCGTGGCCGAGTGGGACAAACAGGTATGGGAGCAGAGAAAATAGGAGAAGCAGCGGAAGCAGGAAGCACGGGATCGAGGAGAGGATGTAAGCAGCGACGACGACGACGACGATGACGACGATGACGATGATGATGAGGTTGTTGCCGATGTGGATTGGGG